GCAGGAGTGATTAGGGTCCTAAGAGTGAACCCAGGGTCTCCAGAGAAACAAAAGGTAAAACAGAATGGAGAAGGAAGCTTCCTGACATAGTGTGACCTCCTAAACATGCATACTAATATCGTATCTGCCTTGCCCATCCCTAGGTCTACAACCCATGATGCCTAGCCAGCAGCAGGCGGCTTACCAAGGCATGATTGGGGTCCAGCAGCCACAGAACCAGGGCCTGCTCAGCAACCAGAGGAGCAGCATGGGGGGCCAGATGCAAGGCCTGGTGGTTCAGTACACTCCACTGCCTTCTTACCAAGTGGGTGCATTCTGCATTGGGAAAGATCAGCCAGTTCTTGGGATGAGGAAAAGGGCAGCCTCCCAGAGTCATCCAGACTAACAACTCCAGTAGTGAAATAATGTCTACTTTCCCCTAGAATTTTTAGGTTCTGAGAGAAAGCCTGAAGATTTTGAGAAGAGTCTTTCTAAGTGGTCTGGTCTTGATATGGCCATGCAATGAGTATATGCCTAGGAAAGTAATGTCTAAAGGAAATCAGGCTCTTTTCTGTATGTCAGATGCCCAGTGGTGGTATTTGGAGAAGGGGGAAATGGAGATAGCTCTGTAAGCATTTTCTTTAGGCAGGTGGGAAGAACTGAAGATGGTTCTAAGAGGTAGGGAAGAAAGTGGTGGCCTAGTGGTGACTAGGCTGTTGGCTGGATGTGCTCAATGGGAGTATGAGTAGTCATCCTCTTCTTGTTCCTACCCAGGTCCCAGTGGGTAATGACTCACAAAATGTGGTCCAGCCGCCTTTCCAGCAACCCATGCTGGTCCCTGCGAGCCAGTCTGTGCAAGGAGGCCTCCCAGCAGGGGGTGTACCTGTATACTACAGCATGATCCCGCCGGCTCAGCAGAATGGTACAAGGTGAGGACTCCCAAAGAGCCGGGGCTCATCTCCGGTAGACCTTCGGCAACTGTTGCACCATGGTAAAAGCAGGGCCCTAAAGCAGGTAGAATATGAGGCCCTAAAGCAGGTAGAATATGAGGGAGTTCATTCTCCTTTTCTCCTCATTGATTTGATATTTGCATAAGAACCCATCAGCAGAAAAAATGTTCCTGCTTCAGAGGCTTACAATTTATGATTTCCCTCATTTTTTGTTTTACAAAATAATGGGACTTAGAACTATGGGATAGAGACTGCTTATCATTAAGCAGTTTTGGAGTGTATATATGTAATGTCTCTGTGTATCTCTGTTTGTATCTATGGATGAAACTGGTGGTGTGTGTCTATTTCTATATATCTATATATATCTTAGTACAGATCATAGCTAATAGAATTTTAGTGGTAGAAGGCACCCTAGAAATAATCTAGTTCAGCCGGGCTCAGTGGCTCAGCCTGTAATCCTGTGCTTTGGGAGGCTGAGGTGAGTGGATTGCCTGAGCCTGTGGGTTCGAGACCCGCCTGGGCAACTTGGCGAGACCTCATCTCTACAATAAATCAAAAAATTAGCCGGGTGTGGTAGTGCACACCTGTAGTTGCAGCTACTTAGAAGGCTGAGGCGGAAGGATCGCTGGAGCCCAGCAGGTCGAGGCTGCGATGGCCGGGAGCAGCCACTGCACTCCAGCAATCTGGGTGACAGAGCGAGACTCCAACTCAAAAATAATAATTAAAAAATAATAATAATCTAGTCCATTCCTCTTGTTTTATTTTTCACCCTTGTTTTTTAAAAATGAGGAGATTCTAGCTAGGGCGGTTAAGAAACTTTCCTAAATTCACATAGCTAGTTAGGGGCAGAGTGGGAACTAGAACTCAAGTATGGGCCTAACTGTTTCTGTGGTTCTGTTTCCAGTCTGTGTGTCTCTATCTTTTTATATGTATGTCTCTACATGTTGTTTTGCATTTTTAGGGTTTTTTCCCACCTTATTTGTCTTTAGGTGACGGTTTACCACTGTGTATATATCCTAAATCACACATCTTTTTAGTTATTTTTTCATGTCAAATATAATTAGCAATCCTTAGTTCTTTTTTACTCATCTTTCTCTAGCACTGTGTGCCTGTCTCTCTGCCTTCTCTTTGTCTGTTTCTGTGTGTTTCTCAGAACCTGTATGTGCGCATGTATGTGTCTGGTGTTTCCACAGTGTTGGGAAGAGCTTGTGTCACTAACATTCCATCTGTAGCACTGATTAGCAGCTTCCTAATTGAAAGATGATCAAGTACAAATTTATATAATTAACTTTGAACTGATGAGTGATTTTAGAAATTGCGTGGCAAATTGGTCTGGGAATGGCTTGGAGCTGCCTCTGCTTCCCACAGGGGAGGCCCGAGAAGCAGCAGCTGTTTGCCAGAAGCTGTGTTCCTCCCTCTACCGCTTCACTCCTCTCTTCTCCATCTCCCCAGCCCTTCAGTGGGGTTTCTGCAGCCTCCTGGCTCCGAGCAGTACCAGATGCCTCAGTCTCCCTCTCCCTGCAGTCCACCACAGATGCCACAGCAGTACTCAGGTAAGAAGATAAAGAATTGGGGGTTCTTGGGCACTGGCAAGAGCAAACACTGCTGAAGGGCTTGTGCTCTAGAGCTGAAAGGACAGAAAGCGCTCAGGGATTGGCTCTGTCCCCAGTGTGACCTCATCAGAGAGAAAGAACAAAGTCTTGGCCGGGCATGGTGGCAGGCAGCCTACACGGGAGGCTGAGGTGGAAGGATCGCCTGAACCCAGGAGTTTGAGGCTGTGATCGTGTCACTGTGCTCCAGTCTGGGCAACAAACTCTGACTCCTAAAAAAAAGACCAATATTTTAGCTGGTGTTTTCCAAGAGTGTCGAAGCTGACCTCTCAAGGGGTTGCTTTATCCCTGGAAAGCTATACCTCTAATTGAAGTCTTTATTTTCTTGTTATTTTGCTTATTTTGTCTTTTTTTTTCTGAATCCAGCATCACACTCACATGCCTCTGGGCCATGAAATACTTACCTGTGTCTCTTGTGTTCATTCTTCCTATGACAGCTTTTCTTATCTCTTGGGAGCAAGAGGGAAGTTGATAAAATGCTGTTTAAGTCATATCTTAGATTTGTTTAGCAGTTTTTAATGTGTACTCACATATATTGTAACACTTAAATTCTCACTACTGGCCAGGCATGTTGGCTCAAGCCTGTAATCCCAGCACTTTGAGAGGCCACAGTGAGGGGACTGCCCGAGCCCATGGGTTCGAGAACAGCCTGGGCAACTTGGCAAGACCTCATCTCTACAATAAATCAAAAAATTAGCCAGGTGGTAGTGCACACCTGTAGTTCCGGCTGAGGTGAAAGGATTGTCTGAGTGCAGCAGGTTGATACTGGGGTGGCCGTGAGTGTGCACTGCACTCCAGCCTGGGCAACGGAGTGAGATTCCAACTCAAAAAAAAAAAATTCTCACTACAGCTTAGTGTAGAAGAAATTTAAGATTCAAAAAGATTAAATGACTTGCCTAAGATCATGATCCTATAACTTGAATTTGGGTCTTTTGACTTTCCATATCCTGTGCTGCATCCTCAACACATCTTCAGTAGGCTTTTGTACTGAGTTCCTTTCCCTCCATTGGAAAAGAAATGGACATCATTTTACAGTTAAAGGCCTTCTTATACAAGTCAGTAGTTTATGCTGTGCAGCCTCTCGCTGCCTTTGCCAAGAACTCTCCCAACACACCAGACACAGCTGCCCTTGTTTGCATCTCTTTCACCCTCCCCTGACAGAGCAGTACACTGCAGTTAGAGAAACTTAGGGGTTCTGCAGGGGAGGAAGTCTTCGTTTAGCCCCCAACCATCTCCTTTTCGCTCTGTTGTGGGACTATCAGAGTGCCCTCTTCTGGTGAGAGAGAGTTATTTTGTCAGTTTTCCTCATTTAGAGATGGAATATTTTTCACTTAAAGATTTTTTTTTTTTCACTCTTATTGAGTTAGATACTGTGGAGTGGATTCCAGAATTAATCTTGCTCATTAGACTTGATCTTTTCTTACTTTCAAATGAGCAATGACTTCTGCCTTTGTCCAGGCCAAACATGGGTCTCTTAAAAGCTGAGGTTTTAAATTTAACAGCCCTTATTCTGTTGAATTGTGGGTGTCTCTAGCTGTTTCTTCTAGTGTCCGCCAGGGGCACTTGGCCAAGGAATTCCCATTGGGGTATGGAAATTGTAGAAACCAGCTCCAAGAAGCATTGTAGCCTGTGGTGGTGCTTGGTACCTCAGGGCATTTTTTCTCCTGTTTGTTAATATGAGTGTGTGCATGTGCATATGGGTACACAAGTATATGCGTTTTTGTGTGTATTATTTGTAGTATGTCAGTATATCTATTGGGTCTCTGGTTCTATCTGTTCATCTTTTTTTTTTTTTTTTGAGTTGGAGTCTCACTCGGTCGCCCAGACTGGAGTGCAGTGGCCGCTCCTGGCCACCACAGACTCGCCTGCTGCGCTCCGGCGATCCTTCCGCCTCAGCCTTCTGAGTAGCTGGAATTAGAGGCATGCGCTACCACGCCCGGCTGATTTTTTTATTTATAGTAGAGATGAGGTCTCGCTGCCCAGGCGGGTCTCGAACCCGCGGGCTCAGGCAATCCACTCACCTCAGCCTCCCAAAGGTGCAGGATTACAGGCTGAGCCACCGAGCCCGGCTATCTGTTCATCTTCTAATACAAAGTCTTTGAATCAGAAACAAACCAAATGAAAATAATTTTTTTTTATTATTTCCTCTAGACCTAGTACTAGGTTAAGTGAACAAAAGCAGTTGTTCTGGAAGTTGGCGACACTAGTGAGCTGGACTGGAGTTGGAAGAAGGAGCTAATCTAAGCTTCCCAAGTTAAAAGAAATGGGGAAACTGTCTTTATCATCTATTTTCTTTTTTTCTTTGGAATTTTCTCAGTTTTATCCCCTTTATTCCTAGCTACCCTGATTAATCCTAGGCTTCTGACTGACCCCTTGTACTTTTCCTAAATGGAAGGAAATATTTTGCCAGTTTTCCCTACTTAGAAATAGAATATTTTCCACTCACATCATCTAAGAGACCGTATTCACCATATCATTGATTTTGTAGATCTTTAATCCCTGCTCATGGAAATCCAAGAGGAAGTAGAAAAAGAGAATCAGGTGCTTCTACTGCCTTCTTTTCCAATTTCCCCTCTACTAGAAAGATGGACGGCAGGCATAGCCCACAAGGGCCCCTCTGTCACCTTCAGAGGACAGTCACCCGCCCTCCTGTCATGTAGCAACGTGGTCACTTTTCCAAAAATAAAGGCAGGGATTAGGATTCGCTGTTCCTGGAACAACTGTTCTGGTTTATTAATACATTTTTGTAGTTGCCTAGTTTACCCCAAGGCCTGAACCTTAATTCTTCCACTGTAATATTAGACATAACTATAACTCCAGGAAACACTTTTCTTCCCGCTAAAATGATGGCTTGCAGGTCCCCTGAGGTTTCTTTTTTTTTTTTTGAGTTGGAGTCTTACTCTGTCGCCCAGACTGGAGTGCAGTGGCTGTTCCCGCCACCACAGCCTTGACCTGCCAGGCTCCGGCGATCCTTCCGCCTCAGCCTTCTGAGTAGCTGGAATTACAGGTGTGCGCTACCACGCCCGGCTGATTTTTTTATTTATTGTAGAGATGAGGTCTCGCTGCCCAGGCGGGTCTCGAACCCGCGGGCTCAGGCAATCCACTCACCTCAGCCTCCCAAAGGCACGGGAGGCTCCCAAAGCCAGGCTGAGCCACCGAGCCCGACTCCCTGAGGTTTCAGCAGGGATGCTTCTCTGGGGAAGATGCATGCAGACACGAAATGGCAGTGATACCTGTATACAGACTCCCAACACACAGTGACACAGCAGCTCAGACAGAGTGAAATGCATACAGAGATAGCCTTGCACATACTTACTGGCACATTTTTTAGCTGAGGGGTTTCCAAAGCTGAGATTACTCTTTTCTCGTCCACTTCCTGAAGATATCCCACTCCCCCCACCAAAAGAAAGGAGGAAAACTAAGGTATTATTGGATTCTATTTGATAATTTGGGAGTGATTCCTGTGGATTTTATTTTCTTGGACATACCTTTCCATAGATTTGATTTTTGGTGGTAAGGGAGAAGCCTTATCAGTTTTCTACCTCAGTGATTTAAGCACACACACACACACACACACACACACACTCTCAACAAAAAACAATTCTGCCAGACATAAATGTCATCTGTTTGTATTTATGCGGTTTGCTCTGCCCAATCGACCTTTCTACCCAGGTTTAATGATGCCACTTAAAAAGCCATTCACTTGTCCCCTCTCCTTTCAGAGCTTTCAAGCTGAAATTGATTTCCTTATTCAACCCCCTTCTCCCCATTCCCACCCACTTCTAACCCAGGCTTCTCCCAGCCTGATTATATGGAAGTGCTGTCACTGGGCAGTGGGTTTTGGGTTTTGGATTTTTTTTTATTATCATTATTGCCACGTCTATTAAGAAGTAGCGACAGTTCAGCTGCTAACAGATGCCACCTGCTTTGGGCTTGAGGAAGAGAAGCATAAAAATCAGCTCATCAGCGGAGTAGTGCTCTGTGTCCTCGGCTGAGGGAAGGAACAATGCTCCAGGCCAGTGGGGGAGGACTAAGTACAGGGAGGAGCTCAGGACAGAGGCTGCAACTAAACCCTGGCTTTGTTTTTTGGGGGATCAGAGAAAATAACATGAAGACTTTGTTCTCTTTCCCCGTCCCTTCAAGCCCCCTAATAGCTCCTTATGGTGACATGTTGGTATTAGAAAGAGCTTCCTACATGCCTGCACCCCCACCTTTCCTTGCCCAGGGCATTAGGCTCAGATTATGAGCTGCCTCCTAGAAAAGCTGTAGATTTGATTATTTTTGCATTGGACCCTCAGGTGGCAGTGAGGTGTTTGAATAGGTCAATTGCAATTTTGTTGGTAGAATGTTGAAGCAGGTGGGGTTCTTAGGATGGGGGAAATAAAATACCCAGGACAACCACAGTAAGAGGGGAGTTGTTAAATTCCTGCCACTCCACAACTGCAATTTTCCGATGGCCCTTCTCCAAGCTATGCTGATGAATACCCTGTCCCCCTTGGCAGGGGATGAGGAGATGTGAGCCTGTTGCTCTGAGAATTTGGGCTCTCTGATTGGTGAACACTAGAGGTGGGGGACACAGATTGGCTGGGGAATATGATATGACAGATGCTGTGTCTCCTGAGCTGCTCTCGCAGGCCTCCCGCCATTTCTTTTCCTTTCCTTTGACCGATATCACCTGAGAAAAACAATCACACTCACTTCCCAGCATGACTGGTGCCCAGGGCAGAGGCTGCAGCATTTCCTGTCACAGGAAGCAACATGATGGCTGCAGCAGTGGCAGCCCTGGAGCACTGAGCCATGGTAACAACAGCACTGCAGCAGGTTTTCAAGCTAGTGACCCCAGCTTCTGTTTCTCTACCACCGCACACACTGAACTCAGCCTCAACAGAAATGTTGCCTTGGAAGGTCAAGAACAAGCTCTCACCCTGGTTAATGCCCTGTGGGGAAGCAGAGCTCCTGCCCATCCCTCTCAGCAGGGACTGTCCATCAGGCTGCTTCTTCCTGACTCCTCACCTTGCTTTTCACCATGAGGAAGATTTTGGACTTAATATGTTCCTCCTCCTGGAGGCTTTTCCTTCCCCCACCCTGTGATAAGATGAGACTCTCCATAGTTGCCAGTGCAAAAACCTCAGGGTCACATATAGTCAGTCACCTGAACCTGTCAGTGTCACCTTGGGAGGTCAGACCCTCCCACTCCATTCCTGCCGGTGTTGCCCTTAATTTGGAATCACCCCATTCTGCTTCAGTAGCTTCCTAAATGGTTTTTCTTGCCACTAGTCTCTGCCTCCCTTTACTTATCCTACATTTGGCCATTTGAGTTAGATCTCCAAAGCACAAGTCCTGTTCCCAATACCTAAAGGATAAAAGCCACATATAACACCAGAATGTACTGCAAACTCTGACACCAACTATGTATAATGTCCAACTACTTGATAAACTGTCCATTCTGTAAGGGCAGGAGCAGGTTTGTTTGTTGCACACTCAGTGCCCAGCATATGAACTGGTACATAGTAAATGTTCAATAAATGTTTATTGAATAGACATGTCTCCTGCTACTTCTTTTATGTAGCCCCTGTGTCTTAGCACCTTGAATCATTTGTTACTTCCCAAATATGACATACGTCTCCCTGCCATTCTCTCTGCTTGAAATGTTTCCCAACTCATTCCACTCTTGACCAAGACATACTTTCTGGGTCTGGCTTAGTGAACTATGTGCATTCATCTTCTCCAGAACAACCAGAGATCACTGACTTATCTGCAGCCATTACCAGAAAAGCCCACACATATCTGCTGCCCCAGCCCATGCCCCAGACTGGGATCTGTACCATGCCCAGATATTTGAGCAATCCGACCTGGGCATTTGGTAATGTCCAGCTTTGATAGAATGGAATACTTTTCTGCCAAGTGTACCAAAGTACCCCTCACCAGGTGAAGGCCAAGAGAGCATTGGCATCTAGGTCTCATCTTTCCACTTAAACTTCACTGCTTTGGGGAGGTGAGGTCAGAAGCCAAATCAGCAGCCATCTCAGATTCCTGGCAGGACACAGTTCAAATGACCCTGAAGCAAGTGGGTGGATTTGCTTACTGCTTTCCCATTCTAGGCTAGCTGGAAGGCAAAAGTACCGTTTGGATTCATAACTAACTGCTTTCTTCCTGCTCTTCAGGAGTGTCACCTTCTGGACCAGGTGTGGTGGTCATGCAACTGAATGTCCCTAATGGACCCCAACCCCCTCAGAACCCATCCATGGTCCAGTGGAGTCACTGTAAATATTACAGCATGGACCAGCGGGGTCAGAAGCCTGGAGACCTCTACAACCCTGACAGTAGCCCCCAGGTGAGTCCTGCAACCCAGCCTTGTCTTGGTAAGGAGGTGACCAGATTTTTCCCAGGGAACAGTTTTTGCCCTTGACTGAGGTAGCCTCTTTTGCATGCCTTTTCCTGAGTATTTTTGGGAGAGAAATACAAGAAATAGAAAAGAGTATCCTCTTTTAAGGAACCTAATATCTAAGGTAGCAGATGGGACACACACTAGAAAATGCTCAGAGAATACTTAAAACAGAGTGCCAAAAGTGGATATTAAAAGAACATAAATGGGTATGTGCGGTGGTTCATGCCTGTATTAAGAGCTTTGGAGGCCAAGGCAAGGAGATCACTTGAGTCCAGGAGTTTGAGACCAGCCTGGGCAACATGGCGAGACCCAGTCTCTACAAAAATAATTGAAGGAAGGAAGGGAGGGACTAAGAGACCAGTTTGAAGGAACAGTCTGACTTTGGTAGAGCTCAGCAAGAGAAACTTACTACTTGAGAGAGGTGAATTTTAAGCCAAGTCATAGAGGGTAATGTTTGGTGTTTATGTGATGTGTACTTTTCTACAGGTCAACACACAAATGAGCAGCAGCCCTGTCACATCTCCTACGCAGTCTCCAGCACCCTCTCCTGTTACCAGCCTCAGCAGCGTCTGCACAGGACTCAGTCCCCTGCCTGTCCTCACACAGTTCCCACGACCTGGGGGTCCAGCACAGGGTAGGGGGTTAGACTAGGGCTGGCTGCTATGGAAGCCACCCTTCATATCTCTATTCCCAATTGGAGAGATTGAGAGTAGCGACAGGCATGGAACCAGCACAGCTGACGCTTCCTTTAACATCCCTGTTCATGTCACGAATACTTGCTCTTCTCTAATACTGCCATGCTTAGCTTACTCCAGCCCACCTTTACATACTTGGTATTCACCTCAGATAGGATGAAAAGAGTTGGGGAAAAGAAGTTCGCCAAACTTTCGAATAAACCAAAAAGTTTAACCTAATATCAGGACTGAGTCAGGACTGGGAATGTGGAACTATGTCAGAAACAATATGATTTTAGTCTAGGTATGGTGACTCACACCTACAGTCCTAGCACTTTGGGAGGCCAAGGCAGAAGGATCACTTGAGCCCAGGAGTTTGAGATCAGACTGGGCAACACAGTGAGGTCTTGTCTCTACTTTTAAAAATACATTACCCGCGCCTTTGGGAGCTGAGGTGAGTGGATTGCCTGAGCCCGCGGGTTCGAGACCCACCTGGGCAGCAAGACCTCATCTCTACAATAAATCAAAAAAATCAGCCGGGCGTGGTAGCACTTGCCTGTAGTTCCGGCTACTCGGAAGGCTGAGGCGGAAGGATCGCTGGAGTCCAGCAGGTTGAGGCTGCGGTGGCCGGGAGCGGCCACTGCACTCCAGTCTGGGCGACAGAGTGAGACTCCAACTAAAAAAAAAAAAAAATACATTAAAGAAAAGAAACAGAGCCGAGTTCGGTGGCTCAGCCTGTAATCCCGCGCCTTTGGGAGGCTGAGGTGAGTGGATTGCCTGAGCCCGTGAGTTCGAGACCCGCCTGGGCAGCGAGACCTCATCTCTACAATAAATCAAAAAATCAACCAAGCGTGGTAGCGCATGCCTCTAATTCCGGCTACTCGGAAGGCTGAGGCGGAAGGATCGCAAGAGCCCAGCAGGTCGAGGCTGCGGTGGCCGGGAGCGGCCACTGCACTCCAGTCTGGGCGACAGAGTGAGACTCCAACTCAAAAAAAAAAAGAAAAGAAAAGAAACAGTATGGTTTTAGAAGAGAGAACACTGGATTGGGTTCAAGTTCCCATCCCACCAGTAACTAGCTTTGTGATGTTGACTAAGTTACTTAAACTCAAAACTAGACCTCAGTTTCCTAATTTATAAAATGGGTTTAATCACCCATAAGATGGGAATAATCTTATCTGCTTTCTGCCCTCGCTATCACAAGCGGTATAATAATAAGAATATGATTTTAAATGTTAAAATGCTCTGAAATGTAATGTGTATCATTAATAGGTATGTGCTTAATACGCACCAGGGGTATTAAGCACATACCTATTACATTTATTTATTTATATATACTTATTTAATACTATGAGACCCTTATATGTCTTACATTGTTTCATCTTTCAGCAGCACTAATGAGGGAAAATATACCCAGTATCACATTTCCAGTTGCAGAGCCACTAGTTTAACCTAGGCAGTCTGGTTCCAAGTATGTACTCTTGTCTCCTGTGCTG